TGAGAAGCACGCAAGCGCCTCTAGCGGCTGTCAATGGGACAGCCACTAGAGGAAATAGGGGAAAGCTTAACCCATTCATAAACACAGCAGTTTCTCTGAAACTGCTATGTTTATGAAAAAATGGGTTAACCCTAGCTGGACCTGGCACCCAGACCACTTCATTAAGCTGAAGTGGTCTGGGTGCCTAGAGTGGTCCTTTAAGACCCTATTCAGCTCACCCTACCACCTCCAGACTAACGGTCTCTGTGAGCGCTTTAATGGTACCCTGAAACAGTTACTGCAGACCTTTACTGCAGACCTTTGCGGAATACAGGGACTGGGAGCGATTCTTGCCGCACCTCTTGTTTGCATATCGAGAGGTGCCACAGGAATCCACTGGGTTCTCTCCGTTCGAGCTGCTCTATGGAAGGAGAGTTCGGGGACCCCTTGATCTCATCCGAGAGCACTGGGAAGGAGAGATGGAACATGAGGGAATACCAAGAAAGGCCAGAGGATATTGCAGCCATCTGCAGTCCTGTCACAGAGGACTCAGACGGTCTACCTATCCCCGACTTGCTAGCACACCCAGAAGCCAATAGCTTGCTCAGTACTGTCCAACTAGGGGAGCTCTTAAACCCAGCGAAAAAGGGACAGATCAGGCAGCTGCTAAAAGAAAAGGGATTAACGTTCTCCCAAGAACCCGGATATACCACGTTAGCTACCCACTATGTGGAGACACCGGGACAGAACCCTCTGAGACAGACCCCCTACAGAATCCTGGAGGCAGTTAAGGAATAGATGAGAAAAGAAATACAGGAAATGCTTAGGTTAGGAGTCATAGAACCCTCAGACAGCCCCTGGGCCTCACCAGTAGTGCTAGTCCCCAAAAAGGACGGGACTACATGGTTCTGCGTCGACTATAGACGCCTCAATGACCGGACAGTGACGGATGCGTACCCCATGCCCCGAGTAGACTAACTACTAGATCGCATTGCTAGGGGACGATATCTGACCACTATTGACTTGTGTAAAGGATACTGGCAGATTCCCCTAGCCAAGGAGGCTGTCCCCAAGTCGGCATTCATCACCCCATTTGGCTTGTACCAATTTAAGGTCATGCCATTCGGGATGAAGAATGCCCCAGCTACCTTCCAATGCTTGGTGGATAGACTCCTTGATGGCTTCCAGGACTTCACCTGTGCGTACCTGGATGACATTGCGATCTACAGCGAGACCTGGGGAAAACCTCTCCAACATGTAGGGGCCATACTGGACCAGATTCGGGCCTCACTCTGAAACCAGAAAAATGCCACTTTGGCATGGCCGAAGTCCAGTACCTGGGACACCGGGTAGGGTGTGGGAAACAGCGGCCAGAACCAGCCAAGGTCGAGGCCGTGGCCAACTGGCCCACACCCCACACCAAGACCCAGGTATTGGCTTTCCTAGGGACAGCAAGATACTACAGAAAATTTGTCCCCGACTATAGTAGCATCGGCAAGCCATTGAAAGACTTGACCAAAAAGAATCTCCCTAGAATAGTCCTGTGGTCTCCCTCCTGTAAAACAGCTTTCCAGACATTAAAGAAAGCACTAATCAACGCTCCTGTGCTCTCTTCCCCAGTCCCCCTCTCTTTACCCAGAGAAGTGAGTTACACGGCAGTGGAAAAGGAGTGTTTAGTCCTGGTCTGGGCATTAAAGAAACTTACCCCGTATTTGTATGGTCAGGAATTTACACTCATCACTGACCATAACCCTCTAGTATGGTTGAATCGAGTGGCCGGAGATAATGGCCGTTTATTGCGATGGAGCTTGGCGCTACAACCATATAACTTTTCCATTCAATATCGGCCTGGCAAATTCAATGGGAACGCAGATGGACTGTCTAGACAAACTGAACTTTTGCCTTAACCGACATCCGGACACCCCCAAGTTGACCCAAAAAGGATCAATCCGGGTCTGCCGGGGTGTTCCACAAAAGGGAGCCATGTAACAAATGAAGGAGCCTAACCTGCTTTATGGAGACTTTGTGCTAATATTCAGTTCGGGACATTTGAAGCATTCCCTATACGAATGCTAACTACTGAACACCGGGCCACCCTGCTTCATAATTACAGATCATTTACCTCCCTGATCCACAAGTACTTGCATATAAAGAAACCCACGAACGCTGTGCGAAGTGCCTGGGTGGCCGCCACTTCGGGACTTACACGTGTTCGCGGCCATCTTAATTCCCGAACAGCAGTGTTTTGCCACCAAGTGTCTGGAACTAAAATCGGACACTCGAGTAGGCGAACACCGCTGAGACCTCCATAGCACCGGGAAATCGTGCTACAACTACCGAACGACAGGCCGTTCGGTAGAAAAACCTAATAGCTTATGGGGATTCCAGCGAACGTTGGATTACGCACGGATGACAAGCTGTTCGGGACTTTTACGCATGAACTAAGACCGACCGCAAGGCCAGAATTCATGGAACTGTTTTCGGCTACTTTGCCCATGCGGTCAGTCAAAACTTTCAAGCTCCATATCTCCCGAACGGCTGAACCGAATGAGCTGATTTATAAGCTCCATATAAGTAGAGATACGTTCTCTCATTATGGTGCACAATGTTGAGTTTCAAAACAGCAGTAATGGAGGTCTGTGCAAGAGAAACTGCTATGTTTATAAATAGGTTAATCCAGCCTCTAGTGGCTGTCTCATTGACAGCCGCTAGAGGCGCTTGCGTGCTTCTCACTGTGAAAATCAGTGAGAACACGCAAGCGTCCATAGGAAAGCATTGTAAATGCTTTCCTATGAGACCGGCTGAATGCGCGCGCAGCTCTTGCCGCGCGTGTGCATTCAGCCAAATGGGAGGAGAAGAGGAGGATCGGAGGAGAAGAGCTCCCCACCCAGCGCTGGAGAAAGGTAAGATTTAACCCCTTTCCTCTCCCCAGAGCCGGGCGGGAGGGGGACCCTGAGGGTGGGGGCACCCTCAGGGCACTATAGTGGCAGGAAAACAAGTATGTTTTCCTGGCACTATAGTGGTCCTTTAAAATCCTTCACTGTATTAACCTCTACCACTTCAGCTGGAAGGCTATTCCATGCATCCACTACCCTCTCAGGTGTGTGTGTGTGTGTGTGTGTATATGTGTGTGTGTATATATATATATATATATATATATATATATTACTACTAGGTATATATGATATAGAAGATCCATACCCAAGTTGGTGTTCTTATCAATTGACAAATTATGATCAATTCAGAAAAAGTATATACAAAGGTGATCCTCTATAATCAATAAGTAAACTGTTGGAATGCCAGAACAAGGGATGGAGCCAAGCACCAACACGTGTTTAACTGGTAAGGTGGCCAGATGTTTTTGCTCCTTTCAGGATCTAGCTATAGCCAGTTTGTAGTTTTCATACTTGCAGCTCTACATTATGCATTCCATAAAAACATAGAATGTTTGCAACCCAATCAAGGTTTTCTGTAATCATAACAATTTTTGCAGATGTCAGTATATGCACTCTCATAATAAGAGCAGCTATAATTCTGCTCAATGCACTATAGCCATGAGAGAACATCTGGTATACATAATATACATCCAGTGAAATACTGAGATCCAGTGCTCTCAGGTTGACAGTTGTATCCTCCTTTGTTATCCACTGCTCACCTGCGCCATCAAAACCTCCATGAGGTGTGTCATCAATGTCACATTTCAACTCAGACTGCAATAATTCCCACATTGATTAGGGTTTTTTTTTTTTTAGGCTATGCTGACAGTTTCTCGTCTCATTTCACCTTCTTGCAACAGGGGGATACAGCCTCCCTACAAGGATCTATGAATGGACAATGACGGAACCTAAACTACACACCTTTTAAAACTTTCACGGACGGAGAGGTGGATATTGACAATTACTTGCAGGACTTTGAACGTCAGTGCTCTTTGGAGGGTCTGGAAAAGGCTAACTGGGCTGCAATACTTGGCAGCAAATTGTCTGGAAGAGCAGCAGAAGCGTACCGAGCACTACCTGACTCGGACATCCACGACTACAAAGGAGTGAAGGAGACACTGCTAGCAAGGTATTATTATTATTGCCATTTATATAGCGCCAACAGATTCCGTATCTACAGCGAAGGTACCACTCAGGGAACAGGTGCTCCGTTAAAGTGGCTCACTGATGTTTTCGGGGACCTGTGAGTTCTAAAGGTCACCACCAAAGCTTACCGAATAAATTTTGTGGATTAAGAAAAGGGGAAGAGACTCTTATGCCGAATGGTATTTTCGTATGCACCGAGCAGCCTTAAATTGGATACAAGAATGTCAGGCAACCACCCCGGATGATACCTTATAGCTATTACTATTGTAACACTTCTTTGATCATACTTCACCAAAAGTGTGAGACCCTCAGGGACCAGAAACCCCTGACAGTGGAAGAAGCAGCTAGATTGGCTGACAAATTCCATGACTGCAGTAGAAGCTAAATCAGCAGGGGGCAATCAGGGTATCGACCCAACAACTATACCCCGATGACCACACTACCGAACCAGCCCCCTCAACCTACACCCCAGCAATGCCGTACCGAAAGAGGGGACCTCTGTGCCACGGTTGTAACCAACCGGGGCACATTAAGATTAATTGTTCCCTTCGCAGCAGAGAAAGATGAAACCAGAAAATCATAACGCTATCTAGTCCTTTCCCAGACATGCCAGGAGAGAGCTGTAAGGTGAATATTTTCTCCCTACGAGCCAGGGGGAACCTTAATTTGTTTTCGTATAGGAACTCCAAAATGTTGACTGACCGCTATCTTCTTTTCCTGGGAACTATTTTGGGCAAGAGCCAGGTGGATGGTCGATAAAATCTTTACCCCAATGGCGATTCGGCTAAACTACATGGATGAGTGCTATTTGGACAACCTAGGCACTCAGATCCAGGCTAACTAGGGATATAAGACTTCTGGGGGTTCCTATCAATCTTTTGGGGTATTTTGTGTCATGTATTGTACCTCTAGTGTCTGGGAGATAGTTAAAGCAAACTCCCTTATCTCCCAGACACAGATGCCTGGGTGGGCTTACTATTGTAGTGAATGGAGACACCATGCTGGCAGTCTGTGTATATAAGCAGGCAACTTGGCCCTAATAAACCAGTTCATTTTGTACCCTTTATCAAGTCTCGACTGATGGGTATGCAAGTGTTATAATCACTGCTTCACTACGGGACCTAAAGGAGAATCTACAGCAAAGGTACCACTCAGTGTACAGGTGCTCCGTTACAATGGCTCACTGATGTTTTGGGGGCCTTTGAGTTCTAAAGGCACAGGGAATCTTTTGAAATTGATGGCAAGATGAATGCAGCATATTATCAGAAAATACTGGCAGACAATATGCATTCTTCTGCATAAAGGCTGGACTTTCCAACATGACAACGACCCTAAGCATAAGGCCACGTTTACCCTCCAGTGGTTACAGCAGAAAAGCGTGAAGGTTCTGGAGTGGCCAGCAATCTCCTGACCGTAATATCATCGAGCCACTCTGGGGAGATCTCAAACATGCGGTTCATTCAAGACGACCAAAGATTTTGCATGACCTGGAGGCATTTTTCAGCTATACCACATGCAAGAATTAGGACCTTATAGACCACTATCACAAAAGACTGCACGCTGTCATTGATGCTAAACGGAGCAATACACAGTATGAAGATCTAAGGATATAGAGACTTTTGAACAGGGGTCATTTTTTTTTCTTTTCTATGTTTTGTTTTATGATTGTTATATTCTGTTAAATAGGAATCCCATAAGAAATAAAATAAATATGTGTTTGCCTGCTCACTCATGTTTATTCACAGTACACACATACACATTACATGCTGTATACAGTACACTCTATACATACATAGTACACAGTATACATGCCATACTGTTATGCTACTAAGGTTTTTAGAATTGGAACTCAACTGCAGCTTGTAGAACTCCTTAATTACAATAGTGAAGAAACGGAGAATCTTTAAATTATCAATACTGTAGCTTTAAGAAAAGAGAGGAATGCTGGCAATTAGAGAATTGTGATAAACTTAAGTGAAAAGCACATAGGTAATAATTCAATAAGAAGAAATTGCTGGTTGTAGCAAACAATACAAAGTTCATCAATAAGTATTTCCTCAGAGATGTATTGAATAATATTCTTTAGGTTCGTAGGAATAATCTTCAATAGAAATAGTATGCAGGTAGCAGAGAATATTTGCAAAGCAAGAAACAGTTCATAGTGGTTAAGCTTTATGGGAGTTATCCTCAATATAATTAGTGTGTATGCAGCAGAGAGGATTTGAGCAAGCAAGAAACAGTTCATTAATAACTGAGATTCCAGATAATAAATTGGAAGTTATACTTAAGATTAATGTGAGTTGTCCTCCAAAAGATCAGTATTAGAGTCCACTTGTTCTCCAGTAATCCTCTAGCCGATGAAGCATAATCCTTTTATCTTCAAAGGTTTAGGAAGGCTTGTGAGAGAAGCTTGTGAAGCCGGCGTCTATACCCGGAAGTAGGTCCCACAATCACGAAGCGCTTTCTCTCTGGCGCAGTCTCTCTAAGTAGTGTCAGAGTGCCACGTCAGAAGGGGGCGGGGCCGGCTCCGCATAGCGGGAATGCCAAACCCGGAAGAGATACCGCATGACAGGACCCCCCACCTAAGGAGCACACTCCGGGTGCTACTACCTTGGTTTCTGAGGGTACCATTTGTGAAAGGCAGAAATCAACTTCATTGCATGAATATCAGAAGAATTTTCCCAGGTGTTATCTTCAGCTCCATAACCCTTCCATTTAATAAGATATTGTAAGTTACCTCTATGAAATCTTGAGTCAAGATTTTTTTCAATTTCATTTTCCATTTCACCTTGAACTTCAATGGGGTCAGGTTTTGACAATTGTTCCCTATGGAAGGGATCAGGGAAAAAAAGGTTTTAGAAGGGAAACATGAAAAACAGGATGAAGTTTAAGTGAAGGAGGAAATTTCAATTTCACAGCATTTTCATTAACAATGGATTCAATTTGAAAAGGAAAAGAGGACTCAGTTTCCTTGCAGGACGGTTAGTAGAAATGTTTTTTGAAGAGAGCCAAACAGTGACACCAATTTTATATTTAGGAGGAGCTCTCATTTTAATATCATAATTCCATTTATGTAAGCTCATAGAACTTTCAAGGTTTTTCTTTAATTGATTAAACAATGAGGACATTTCCATGTTTTGAATAGAAACCATCGGATTAGAAATTGTCTTGGGATCATCAGGGAACAAGGAGGGATGGAATCCATAATTTGAAAAGAATGGAGTCATTTTGCTGCTTGAATGTATGGAATTATTATAGGCAAATTCAGCCATGGGTAACCAATACTCCAATAATCTTGTAAATACGTGCAGTAACAACGAAGGTATTGTTCCAGACATTGATTGACTCGTTCGGTTTGGCCATTGGTTTGAGGATGGTATGCAGAAGAGAGTTTACGTTGGATTCGAAGTGAAGAACACATTTCCTTCCAGAATCGTGAAGTGAATTGGGAACCTCTGTCTGAGATTATTTCTTCAGGGAATCCATGTAATTTGATTATATTGTCTATGAAGACTTTGGAAAGTTCAGAGGACGAGGGTAACTTTTTTTAAGGGAAAAAAATGAGACATTTTCGTGAAACGATCTACAACAATGAGTATTGTTGGTATATTTGGTATATTTCTGAGAAGGAGGGAGTTCCACCATAAAATCCATAGAAATAGATTGCCAAGGTCTCACAGGGACTGGTAATCCCATCAATAATCTGTAAGGAAAGTGATGTTCTGCTTTGGATCTTTGACAAACTGGACAAGACTTAACATAAGTTTCAATGGTTTTATCTTGACAAGGCCACCAATATTGTCTCGTAGAGCGTTCAATTGTCTTTTTTATCCCTGGATGTCCAGCAAGAGGAGAATCATGAATTAATTTTAGAAGTTTGTTCCGTAGTTTTGGAGGAATATAAATCCTATTTTTGAAATAAAAGATTCCATCTTTTTTGAACAATTTAGGAGTGGAAGGTAATTCAAGTTCTTTGAGAGATAATTGTTTCAGTTCATTCGATTTAATAGTTGTAAATCCAATAATTTTATTGTTTGACAATATTGAGACGGTTTTCTCTTCTGAAGAAGGATTACGAGGAATTCTGGAAAGAGCATCAGCTTTTTTGTTACTAAACACATCAGGGAAATCCGAATATTGTTCCGGTATTAAAGTTTCTTGACTTAATCGAAGTATAGGAAACTGTGGGAGACAATTGTCCTTACAATAATCTGAGGCAAAGTTGAGAGCGAAGGGAGCCCAACGGATGAAGGGATTATGAATTTGTAACCAGTTGATTCCTAAGATGATTGGAAAAAGAGGGGATTTTATAATATCAAAAACAAGAAATTCTGAATGGCTATTATTGATAGTGGTCAAAATAGGAATAGTTTCATTTTTTATGGGACCAGAGGGGATTAAAGAACCATCAATAACTCTGATAGAGACAAAAGATGCTTTTTGCAGACAAGGAATTTTATTGGCTTCAACAAACGAATAATCTATGAATATCCCGTAGCTCCAGAATCAATAATGGCCTCAGTCTTGATTCTTTCTTTGTCCCACTGTAAAATTAGAGGTACAGCAAACTGATGAGAGGAAGAAGAGGGAAGGGTTTTCAGAATTGAGGTATTAATTCTAGGCTTACTTCCCTTAGAGCGTTTTAGAAGAGGACATTCTTGTAAAATATGGTCATTAGAGGCACAATAAAGCAGAGATTTAATTCTCTCCTTCTTATTTTTTTCTTCAATAGACAAAGGTCCCCTAATAAACCCAACTTCCATAGGTTCAATTGGTCGCAAGGGTTTATTAGGCATTCGGAAAGGAGGACTGGGTTTTTTCCAAAGTGAATTAGAGAGAGCCTTTTCAGCTTTACGTTATCTGATTCTTCTATCTATATCGATAGAGAGTTGAATTAATGTATCAAGCGTTGGAGGAACAGTGGTTCTAGATAATTCATATTTAACTGTTTCAGACAATCCTAAACGGAACTGATTACCTAGAGCTATATTATTCCATTGGGTTTCTGAAGCCCATCTTTTGAACTCCGCTATATAATCCTCCACAGGACGATTTCTTTGTTGTAATGATCTAATAGTAAGATCAGCAGTAGCTTGTTTATTAGGGTCCTCATAAAGTAATGACATTGCCTCAATAAAATTAGCTAAAGAATCCAATATAGGATCTTCATTTTCCAGAAATGAATGTGCCCAGGACACAGGTTCACCCCTTAAATAGGAAATTATTGAACAGACCTTAATCCTGTCTGTGGGGAAGCCCTAGGTTTGAGAGTAAACAATAATTTGCATGAATTCAAAAATTCTCTATATTTAGAGCGATCTCCATAAAATTTTTCAGGGTTGCAGACAGCAGGGTCACTTAAAGAATGAGTAACCTTATTTTACATTTCTCTAATGTAAGAAAGAAGTCTCTCATTAGCAATTTGCAAATCCTACATGCCTTGTTTGAGAATTTCAACTCTATGGGTTAAAGAGGTAATTTGGAAATTCACTTCTGCTGGTTTCATTTTTAGGCTTGGAGAGTCTGTTATGCTACTAGGGTTTTGTCACGGTTCACGCCGTGACATCCAGTCTGCCAGACGTGGTCGCTCCGGAAGCGTCCGATAGAGGGTTTGAACTGCGGTTGTTCTACACCGTATCCTGCTATCTTCCCTCTGAGCCATTTCAGGACTTTGGATAACTCCTGTTTATTCTTGTATTGCCTGCAGCACTAGGGGGCTGGACTTCACCAAAGGCTCAGATCTGTCAGTAACTCTCCAGCTGAATCTGATACCTAATTAACAGGATATAAAAGCCTGCCTCACCCTGGGAGGGGTGTCAGTTCATTGACTCTGGTTCCCTTGTTTGGTTCCTGTTACTCCGTACCTGCGTTCCAGTGATTCTTGTCTAATTCCGGCTTCTGACCTTGGCTTTCCTCCTGGACTACTCTGACCTCTGGCTTCCCTGATTTTGGCTTCCCTTGACCACGCTTCTGCTAATCCCTGCTGTACTGAGTCTTGGAGCACTTTTCCTGGGAAGCCCCCGTGCACAGACTCACAGGCCAGGTGGCGTCTTACCTGGTCACCCTGGTCTGTGTCTACTTTGCAAGGGTGAGCGTATAACTCTGCGAGCTGGACTCCCTATCAGGTAAGAACCGTTACAGGTTTTTAGAATTGGAACTCAACTGCAGCTTGTAGAACTCCTTAATTACAATAGTGAAGAAACAGAGAATCTTTAAATTATCAATACTGTAGCTTTAAGAAAAGAGAGGATTGCTGGCAATTAGAGAATTGTGATAAACTTAAGTGAAAAGCACATAGGTAATAATTCAATAAGAAGAAATTACTGGTTATAGCAAACAATACAAAGTTCATCAATAAGTATTTCTTCAGAGATGTATTGAATAATATTCTTTAGGTTGATAGGAATAATCTTCAATAGAAATAGTATGCAGGTAGCAGAGAATATTTGCAAAGCAAGAAACAGTTCATAGTGGTTAAGCTTGATGGGAGTTATCCTCAATATAATTAGTGTGTATGCAGCAGAGAGGATTTGACCAAGCAAGAAACAGTTCATTAATAACTGAGATTCCAGATAATAAATTGGAAGTTATACTTAAGATTAATGTGAGTTGTCCTCCAAGAGATCAGTATTAGAGTCCACTTGTTAAATGGTAAAGTGTCCGTTCTCCAGTAATCCTCTAGCGGATGAAGCATAATCCTTTTATCTTCAAAGGTTTAGGAAGGCTTGTGAGAGAAGCTTGTGGAGCCAGTGTCTATAGGTCCCACAATCACGAAGCGATTTCTCTCTGGCGCGGTCTCTCTAAGTAGTGTCAGAGAGCCGCGTCAGAAGGGGGTGGGGCCGGCTCCACATAGCAGTAATGCCGAACCCGGAAGAGATACCACATGACACAGAGGCGTAACTAGAAACTACAGGGCCCAGTGCAAAAACTGCCTGGCGCAACCCCCATCTGTCTACCCTCCCCTTCCCCTAAGTCCGCCCCCACACATGCAGACAGATGCACATAGACACAGACCTACACAGATATACCTACATATATACAGACACATATACAAAATGTTTTAGTCACCCTGTTTCCTACCTTGGCTCAGCCTGATGGGAGTCAGTGTCAGAATCCAAACCTTAATTTCGGTATTTAATTTACTTCATACAAGTTTATTTCTGCAGTAACTGTTTTGCCACTAGTGGCCTTCTAACCACTGTCTGAACACTCTTTCTCTCATCCTCAGGCCATACCTTGCTAAAGGAAACTACCTTTACATTACAATATAGTGTCCTTTGAAATAAACTCAAAAAAACAAAAGCACATGGGGTATACTAAAACATATAATTTTAAAAAGGCCAATTTCAATAAGTTAAGGGCAGCTTTACAACATATTGACTGGCATAAACTCTTTAGTGAAAAGAACACTGAGGATAAATGGATCATCTTCCAACAAATATTAGAAAGGTACATTTCTCAGTATGTACCATTGGGAAATAAATCTAAAAGAAACAAATTAAAACCAATGTGGCTTAGTAGAGAAGTAAAACAAGAAATAAAAAAAGAAGAAAAGGGCATTTAAATCGGACAAATCAGATGCATCTTATAAAAGATATAAGGAAGCAAATAATGCGTGCAAAAAGGCAATTAGATTTACTAAACTTCAAAATGAAAAAATGATAGCTAAAGAGAGCAAAACCAACCCAAAAGCATTTTTTAAGTACATAAATTCTAAAAAACCCAAACATGAAAGTGTAGGTACACTAAAAACTGAAACGGGGGTGTTAGTTAATGAAGACCAGGAAAAGGCAGGAATTTTAAATAACTATTTCTCCTCCGTATATATATATTAAGGAAGAACCCATGGCAATAGATGTTCAAATTGGTTAACTCAAGACAAGGTGCTGCAGCAACTAAAGAAAGTTAATATAAGCAAAGCTCCAGGGCCTGACGGTATCCATCCATGAGTACTTAAGGAACTAAGTGTAGAAATAAGTGAACCTCCTCTTTTTAATTTTTCAAGATTCTTTTCTTTCATGAAGTGTTCCGGAGGATTGGAGGAAGGCAGATGTGGTTCCTATATTCAAAAAGGGTTCAAAATCATTGCCTGGAAATTATAGACCTGTAAGCTTAACTTCTGGGGCTGGAAAAATATTTGAAAGGTTATTAAGGGATAATATTCAAGAATTCCTTGAGAAGAACATGGTTATCAGCAAAAATCAGCAGTTTTATGAAGCACAGGTCATGTCAAACTAACTTGATTGTGTTTTATGAAGAAATAAGTAGAAGTATAGATCAGGGTGTTGCAGTGGATGTGATCTATTTGGATTTTGCCAAGGCATTTGATACAGTTCCACACAATAGATTAGTGTTCAAACTCAAGGAAATCGGTCTAGATGAAAATGCTTGTTCTTGGGTAGAACATTGGCTTAAAAACAGAGTACAAAGAGTTGTCATTAATGGTAAATTTTCAAGCTGGACAGAGGTGGCAAGTGGTGTCCCTCAGGAGTCTGTTCTGAGACCCCTTCCATTTGACATGTTTATAAATGATCTTGAAGACAGCATTAAAAGTCATGTTTCAGTGTTTGCAGATGACACAAAACTCTGTAAAATAATACAATGTGAGCAAGATATTACTTTGCTGCAGAGGGATTTAGATCAAATGGCAGATGAAATTTAATGTTGAAAAATGCAAAGTTATGCACTTCGGTGTAAAGAATACATAAGCAACGTATACCCTTAATGGAAGCAAATTAGGGATAACAACACACGAAAAGGACTTGGGAATTGTTATAGACAACAAACAATGTGCAATGTCAATCAGCAGTGGCCAAGGCCAGTAAGGTATTGTCATGCATGAAAAAAGGCATTCATTCTCGGGACGAGAATATCATTTTGCCTCTTTATAAATCACTGGTAAGACCACATATTGAATATGCTGTGCAATTTTGGGCACCTGTTCTAAAGAAGGATATTATGGCACTAGAAAAAGTGCAGAGGCGGGCTTCAAAACTAATAAAAGGAATGGAACATATCAGCTATGAAGAAAGGTTAACAAATTTAAACCTATTTAGTTTTGAAAAATGTCGCCTGAGAGGGGATATGATAACATTATATAAATATATTCAGGGCCAATACAAACCATTGTGTGGAAATCTTTTTACAAACCGGACTTTACATAGGACACAAGGCCATGCGTTTAGAGTAGAAGAAAGAAGATTTTGTCTAAGGCAAAGGAATTCTCTGCCTGAAGAAGTGGTTTTATCAGAGTCCATACAGATGTTCAAACAGCTACTAGATGCATACTTGCAAAAACAGAATATTCAAGGATATAATCTTTCAATGTAGGGTAATAACTGCTTGATCCAAGGATAAATCTGACTGACATTCTGGGGTCAAGAAGGAATTTTTTTCCTTGCTTGTTGCAAAATTGTGCTTCAAACTGGACAGCAAAAAACAAATGTGAGGAAGGCTGAACTTGATGGACACAAGTTTCTTTTCAGCTATGTAACTACATTGATTGAAGTTGTGGCTCTGGACATGGCATGACCTGCTCAAATTTCTTGATTTATTCAACCAACCTGCTTCTTTCCAATCTGCTCTTTTCAAAGAAGCTTGGTAACAAATCCTGATTTCAAGTACCAACCTGCTTTATTTCATATTGGACTTTATTGGTTTTTTTTTTTGTTTGTTTTTTACCTTGTTTGCATACCAACTTTACAACTTCCGGAGTCAACTCAACCAACCTGCTTTATTCATACTGGACTTTATCTCTTTGTTTGTTGCAAACCCCTTTAACTCCAACCAAATTCAACATAATGTTCCTGGATAATACCAACTATTTGCCACTGTAACGGCACCCCAGGTATAGAAGTGGTTAACGCCGCCAAAGATGTTCTCTTCCGAATACGAAATCAACTACCGAACACTCCTAAGTGCAGAACAGGAAAACACACGAATAATCCCCCCCCAAATATGAGACAAGGCTTTGTATTGAGGGTCAAGCAGGAATCTGTTTAAAGGACCACTCTAGGCACCCAGACCACTTAAGCTTAATGAAGTGGTCTGGGTGCCAGGTCCAGCTAGGGTTAACCCATTTTTTCATAAACATAGCAGTTTCAGAGAAACTGCTATGTTTATGAATGGGTTAAGCCTTCCCCCATTCCCTCTAGCGGTTGTCTCATTGACAGCCACTAGAGGCGCTTGCGTGCTTCTCACTGTGATTTTCACAGTGAGAGCACGCCAGCGTCCATAGGAAAGCATTATGAATGCTTTCCTATGTGACCAGCTGAATGCGCGCGCAGCTCTTGACGCGCGTGCGCATTCAGCCGCATGGGAGGAGAGCTCCCCGCCCAGCGCTGGAAAAAGGTAAGTTTTAACCCCTTTCCCCTTTCCAGAGCCGGGCGGGAGGGGGACCCTGAGGGTGGGGGCACCCTCAGGGCACTATAGTGCCAGGAAAACGAGTATGTTTTCCTGGCACTATAGCGGTCCTTTAATGTGGGCTACATGCCCATCTTTTATGCAGGTCTTCCAGCAAGGGACACTCCCGTAGGGACCTTGTGGAAGACTGGGACAATTTTATGCATTAACCAATCACAAACAGACACATGGATAAACACGCCCACATGGACATTACAAACCCTCCTCTCTATCCTGGAGGTAATTGGGTTAAGTGCTAGAAGTAACTCAATTACCTCCAGGGATAGAGCATAACCTCCATTTTACAGGCATAGTAAAATACAATAAAAATATATAGTTCCCAAACTACCGAACAAAATCCCCACATTCAACGTATCACCAGTTCTGAGTGCACAATATCACCGAATAGCGCTCAGATCCCATACACAAAGTTCAATCGCCATGGAGCTGAAGTCTTGCACATAGTGTATTCGTCATACGAATGGACTCCATGGGATGGCTATCTGGGCAGCTCTGTTCATATAGTCAATGTACCGCACAGCATTCGTATGAACCGGGAACAGGACGAGGAAGGGTCGGCGACTTCAGCAGTGTTCGTATGAAATAGTGTCCGATTTTTAGTTCCATGGGTTTTGTCGACGAACACCGCATGGGAGTTCGAATGTCTAAGATGGTTGCCGCCACATGTTCGTTCATACAAACGACGACCACCCAGCCGACCATTTGGGAGTTGGAAGTGTCTGTGTTTAACCAAATCATTAATGAGGGCAAAAAGGTAAATAAGCAGCACTCTTCCATGCTGGGTGGCCTGCCATTTGGTAGTTCTTTCGCATAAAGGGGAATGAAACATAGGACCGTACGGACAAGTGGCAATTACTAAACAAACAGATGAACCAAGATTAAATCACTAAAAAAACAAACAAGCAATAAAGGCGCTGAAAGTGCTAATGTAAAATATAAAGATAATAAAAGTGTACAAGCTCATAAAACACCATACATAAAATCCAAAATAAAAATAGGTGCGCTGTACCTTTAAATATTAAAAAGTGCAAATAGTGCAATAATTTGTGCAAATATTTTGTGCAAAAACAGTGTGTATACAATGTAATCACATTCAATGTGACATAAGTGCAAAATGCAAATGTGATAGTGTAAAAATTCAATATCCAAAACAAATAACTTACAAGGGAAATGTATATCTCCTTAAATTCTCCAAATCACATAAGAACATATGTAAAAAGAGATATAAAATGGAGAAACATAGTATAATATTGTTTACATAAATATAAAAACCAGCAAATAAAACTAGGAATATCACTCACAAAAAAAGAGCAGTAAAAGCCTGCTCTAACTGATCCAGCTTTAAATCCAAAAACCAGGACTTCAGTGTTGGTGCAAATAGGCAGGACACCAGCTTCCAAAAGTAAAACAGCTTTATTGAAAGTAAGTAAAATCCACACTCTCTGTTTCCATATAGCAGCCTAATAACCTTTTGCCAGTACTGTATAGTATATATCTACCAGTCCCTGGTGACTTTCGGTACTGCAGGCTTCACTTCCTGGAACTCGGAGTTTCGTCCGGTCACGTGATGGCGTGATGACGTAATCGACGTGATGACACGTTTCGCCCAATCGGCTTCCTCAGATCACATCCTGATGTAGCTAGTCCTGCCTTTTAAAGCCCATACATGGGCGTGGTTTGTATCAATCATTATAGAAACTCCCCATAAACTGATTAGGGGTAGATCTTATAAATGTCTATATTTTGAAAGTCCATAACATATGAAACAGAAAAAAAACCAAATATAGCATAAAGCTAATCCTCTAGTTAAAAAAATAACTTATCCAAATAACTCATAAAACAGCAGTAGATAGTGATAATAACACATGGATTGCACATTAATAATTCTTATTAACATCTTAATATAATTCCAAAAAAACAAAGAAAACCTTCTATTGTGATGGGTTTCCAGCATGGTTAAAATTTAGTAGGCCAAAATCTCCATGTGGCATATGTGTATGTTGTGTCAGTTGGTTAGCTACATGTAGCTAGGATACTGTCATCAGTGTACTGAGCATGTGCAGGAATGCAGGAACTGAAATTGCACTTATTTCCTTTGTCTTGGATGAGCCATGTGGTTTGACTAGATGTACAAGTCTATATTCTGCTCATTGATTGGTTAAAGGTATATGTGGGTGTAGCTATTAATGGGAGGAGTTATAGTGCTATATAAGGAATGTACACTATGTGTTGGTCTCTCAGAATGTTGGAACAGGAGTTCATCTGAGACCCGATCGGTAATGTGAATAAAGGCCTGTTACTTCCTGAAGACCTGTGTCCAATATTTCTGTGTTTGGCTTCTGCATGCTTACACTGCAACATTTCTGGTGCAATTGGGCCGGGAACCTCATCGCACGGAAGCTGGCACAGAGATTTGAGACGGTAAACTTTTACCAAACCTTCTACGCTACAATCCTGGACTTCTACTGCGTGGACCTCCTTTCGTCTCGGCGCCACTGGCCTTTTGTCCAGGAGATCATCGGCTTCTGCGCAGTGAGTCCCGGATTGTTCCGTCTATGAGTGAACCCAGGTCCAGAAATTGACAGGTAAGATTGATACCGTTAGAGCGGTAGACCCACAAGGGGTTTTATATTTGGAACCGGTTATTGGTATTGGCCCCTTCAGTAGAAGGAAGAAGTGAAAAGCGCAACACTTATTGGTTTGGGTCAGACTGAGTTCTGGTGTAAATAGCTCATGTCGGACACCGGTGTCCTATCTTGACTAGCGTATCTAGGGTGTAAATTTTGTTCGCTAGGTCGGGGGGACCGGGAGACTAGCATACTCTGTTGTATATTATAGTTTGCTAGATTTCACCCTATCTTAACTAAGTGTGCTCTGTTGTAAATCCAGCCACTAGCTTATTGATAGTTTAATAGACTAGCTGGGTACTGTGTAAATTCTGCCCTCTAGTTCGCTATACGTGGTGTCTGGGCAGCGAAGAACTTATCGAATCTCTGGTGTATAAATAGATCGAAAGCTCTCGAGGTGCTGGCCAGTTAGAATAGTTGGGATTATTGTAAATGTTGTTAAATATATTGTAGTTGGTGAATTGGTTAACTTGTATGTCCTACTAGAAAGTTAGAGCTCTGCTGTCTAGTGGGAGTGTAAATTGTGTGTATAACTGTAAAATAGCGCACGGTACCATAACTACTGACATGTACCATAACCACTGGCATTGTGTAAAAATTACTAACAATTGCTGTTTTATGTTATATGTATAATACCATAACTGTTACTAACTGATCTGTGACTTTAAAACTGTATTATAACCACTTACTAACTGTACCATAACCACTGACTGTAAAGATGAGGTTACTAGAATGTGATATAGTTGGTTAGTCAAAAGTTGATTTATAGTACGGATAATTGTAGAGATGAATTTGTTGAAATGTTATGTGATCGGTTAGTTTATATGGATTAATAGCGTGGATAGTTGTATGGTTTGAATAATAGTTACATTGATAAGTGTATAGTCTTTGGTGGTTTTTTTTTATTTAATTTCGTGTGTGCGACGTCGTGATATTGTTGAGCATGTGAGGATCCTGTGTGTGTGTGTTTGGGCCTAGTGACTGCGCAATGTGTTGCTGGTGATAAGGAGATTGGTGTGACTGTTGCAACTGTGTGTATATTTGTACAGCTTTTTGAATCAGATGCTCTGTTGAAATAATCTTCTGATTCACAAGGCTTTGTCTTGTATGTTTAAAAAAAAAAAAAAAGTAGGGAGTAGCCTGTCCTGGTGGCCGCATGGCCTCCATGTAGCAGTCTTCACTTAAATTTAGTGCAGGGTGTACATGTGGCTGTAACTAGTAGGCTGGAATTCTATGATCAGTTTCTATATATTGACTGTTGGAAACTGATTTGTTGAAAAATTGCCTTGGTGAATTAAACTGTGTCATATGAGAAACAATGTAGCCATATGGTGGTCATAACTAAGGACTTAATTACAACTGCTTTGGACATCCCCTCCCCCCCTGGCATCTGATTACCAACCCCCCAAACATCCTCCAGAGCCAGAGTAGCCACGCCCATTTCTTACTCCCAAAACTGGTATATAGTCAGTATTTGCACTCCCCCTGCTCTACTGTCCCCGCCTACCCACATACCTATCTGTTCCTGTGTTTCAAACTCTTGTATTTCTGTACTACCCCTCCCCCTAATCAATGATCAATGGTATTAGATGGTATATTGGTTTTTTTAGTTACTGGATGGGCCCCTCCCAGCTTTGTCCAAAATGTCCCCTTTTTACTAAACTACAAACTGAAATGTTTAATTTACCTTAGAACTAAAGATTTAATCAAGCCTAGCTAGCAGGGTGGACATTGATTAAAATAAGTAATAATAAAATAGGACATAATTAATTAAAGTCTATTTGTTTCATTTGACTTTAGGGAGGCACTCTAAGCCACCTACTGGCCATCTTCGGGAGTTACATTGATAATACATTGTTTATAACAGATAGATGTAGGATTGCTTACCCTATTTTAATATATTTATTGCTATAAGGTTTTATTTTATGTATAAATATATTAAAAGTTGAGTTTTCTTATTAGACCCATAAAGATTATTTTGATACAATTACCCTCTGGTGACACCTACTGGTAGGTTTTTGGTTTAACACTTTAAAAAAACAAACGTTTTTTTATCCACCAAATGCTGACTAATAAAATTAGCTCACCCCCTTACACTTATCTTACTACTCCTAGACTGGAACCTATTATTGGGCATCTTTGCCGAAGTCCCATATTAGACACTGCTTGAGTCAAATAGGTTGTATACTCCCTTTAATCCAGAGGCCCCTGAAAACTTCCGAATGATAGACTCAGCATTTGTCAGCCAGGCCCAAGGTGATAGTAAAAGGAAATTACAGAAATTAGAGGGATTTGTAGGGATGTCCATAATACAGCTAATGGAGATTGCAAATACAGTATATATGAATAGGGAGACGGAGGAAGAACGTAAAATGAGGAAAAAGGCAGATATGCTAGCGGTAGCTATCTAAGTGTAGAAAGACAGGGAAGTGAATAGAGGAGACGAGAATAGGCTGAACAAGGGACTTTAAGTAGGAATTAATGTGCGTATTGTAGAAAGGAGGGACATTGGAAGAGTGAGTGTCCACAGAGAGAGCAGTATGAAGGTGATAGACAAGGAGAGAGAAGGGTACGAGGAGGTTATAGTGGTAGTTATAGAGGAAGAGGAAGTTTTAGAGGGAATGGTGGGAATAGTAGAGGAAGTGTTCAAGGAGACAGATACTATCCACCCACGCAGAGACCTAGAGAGGATAGAGATTTTGCGGGTCTGGCTGACACTATCATGGAAGACTATTGATACCGACTGGGCTCCATCCCACTTGGTCGAGCGGAGCCTATGGTCGATGTAGCAATAGGGGGAAAGAGAAGTTCTTTCATGATCGACACAGGTGCTGAACATTCTGTGGTGACTAAGATGGTGGCTCCGCCTTCGGGGAAGACTATAACTGTGATAGGAGCTACTGGGAGAAGTGCAGCTAGACCGGTTCTTAAGAGTCGCACTTGTATTCTGGGAGGCCATGTGGTGAAGCATTAGTTCCTATATATGCCAGAGTGTCCGATTCAACTTTTAGGACGAGATCTATTATCGAAGCTTTAAGCTCAGATAACCTTTTACCTAATGGATTAACATCTCTGAAGTTTAAGGGATTACCAGGCATAATGGTGATATCGGTGCCAAGGGAAGAAGAATGACGCTTCTATTCCATAGTGACAAGTGTTAACCCTAAGAGTGATGAATCCTTATTTGACATTCCAGGAGTATGGGAAGAAAATAATCCTCCAGGACTTGCTCGTAATATCCCACCAATACATATTGAGTTAAAGCTCGGGGTGTATCCTGTTAGCCTTTGTATGTTGTTCTTTTATCTACCCCAACAGCTGTAAAGGTGGCGGAAGTGACTCCTTGGATTCATCATTCTAAGGTTAAACCAGCAGCAGACTCTTGGCAAGCTACTCCAGATCCTGAGAATCCTTGCAGGACCCGGTTGAAGCGTGCAACTCAGTCGGAGTGACGAGGGGATATCGAGACATTCTAATTAAAAGTCTACAAAGATCATCAAGTAGGTGTTTTGACGGCCATAATAAAGCCTGACCACCTGCCTACGTGTCATAGCCAGAGTATCTTGAAGGGATCTCTGTGAAGGAAAGTGAGGATCAGAAGAACAACATCCTTGCAGCCCTCACAATCGGGAAGCTGAGAGGCCATCGCACGGTTGAAGAAAAATGAGGATTTCAGGAATAATGTGTTTTATTGTGTCTTAGTATTTTTATGATTTTTCAGGAAGGTAGGAGTACAGACATACCGAATTGCGATAGTTGCATTAAGACTACTAAAACAGGTAACCAAATATCCCAAACTCTCATCTGGCACTCACAGTATGAATGTAAGGGATCTGTATCTACATGTAGATATTTGGATATTGATTATAGTGTGTGCAAGCCAATATCAGGAGAGTCTAAATGTTTTGATCCCCATTTCCAACCCCGTACAATTTGGTTGGTAATTCGGAATAGTAACTCCCAGGGGACATTACTAAATAGGACTGTGATAAGCACCATACATTCCACGGGTATTCTACTATTTGATGCATGTAAGGCGATTTCGGGTAGTGGAAGACTTTGGAATGTATGTGGTAATCTTAAATGGGAACGAACTTATGGGTTTAATGATAAATACTTATGTCCCAGTAAAAGATCTACTGATCCTGATTGCCCAAATAGAGACTAACTTCTGCCCCTATTGGTCATGTGTAGGTTGGGCAACCTGGGAAAAACAGTGGATCAAGATATGATTATCCAAAGGTTATATAAGGAATGTACACTATGTGTTGGTCTCTCAGATCATTTGGAACAGGAGTTCATCTGAGACCCGATCGGTAATGTGAATAAAGGCCTGTTACTTCCTGAAGACCTGTGTCCAATATTTCTGTGTTTGGCTTCTGCATGCTTACACTGCAACATTTCAAAGGGGAAGAAGAAGGTAAGTTAGTAATCTTTAAAAATTTCCTAAAAAATCTAAAAGACAGCACAAAAAAAAAAAAAATTTAAAAAAAAATTTATTAAAAAAAATTATACAAATCGAATTCAATGTTGAGGCCCTTAGGTTCAAGAGTGTTTAATGTGTGAACCCATTTCATCTCTTCTTTTCCCAAATGTTGAATAAAATTTCCTCCTCGCCATGGTTTCTTAACTAATTGAATCCCTAAAAATGTAAGGCCACTAGGGTCGCTACTATGGTACTTCTTAAAATGGGCAGATACACTATGATGTAAACAATATTATACTATGTTTCTCCATTTTATATCTCTTTTTTTACATATGTTCTTATGTGATTTGGAGAATTTAAGGAGATATACATTTCCCTTGTAAGTTATTTGTTTTGGATATTGAATTTTTACACTATCACATTTGCATTTTGCACTTATGTCACATTGAATGTGATTACACTGTATACACACTCTGTGTTTTTTGCACAAAATATTTGCACAAATTATTGCACTATTTGCACTTTTTAATATTTAAAGGTACAGCGCACCTATTTTTATTTTGAAGGTTAAATCACAGCAATCCAAAGACAGAGGTCTGTCACATCTACTATCCTGAATAACCCTGTTGCAATGATCTGAAACTGCATTACTGCCTCCAACCAAAAGACTGAATAACTAAATATCTGTTTTAACCTGAATTCATTATTAACATATTATACTATGTTTGCCAGTAACCTATAATTCCGCCAATAGGTTTTCCCTCTCTTGATTTACCTGTTACTTGATAACCTGTTTGGGGCATATTACCTAAACTCTTAATTCTGTTCTTTCCTCCTAACCCATAACTCCGCTTATAGGTTCTCCTTCTATCTATTTCTTTATATCCTGTTACCTATAATTCTGTTTATAGGTTCTACTTCTCACTAATTCCCTTATTTCTGCTTATAGGTTCTGCTTCTATCAACTTCTCTATAACCTGTCCGGGGCCTATTGTCTAAACCAGTGGTTCCCAAACTTTTTAGCTGAGAAGAGACCTGTGTCCATCAAGTTCAGCCTTCCTCACATTTGTGTTCTGCTATTGATCCAATAGAAGACAAAAAACCTAGTCTGAAGTGCTTCCAATTTTGCAACAAACTAGGAAAAAATCCTTCTTGACCCCAGAATGGCAGTCAGATTAATCTTTGGATCAAGAAGCTATTACCCTACATTGAAAAATTATATCCTTGAATATTCTGTTTTTGCAAGTATGCATCTAGTTGCTGTTTGAACATCTGTATGGGCTCTGATAAAACCACTTCTTCAGGCAGAGAATTCCACATCCTTATTGTTCTTGCAGTCAAAAAAAAACCTTTCCTTTGCCTTAAACAAAATCTTCTTTATTCAAGTCTAAATGCATGACCCCGTGTCCTATGTAAAGTCTGGTTTGTGAATAGATTTCCACACAATGGTTTGTATTGGCCCCGAATATTTGTATAATATTATCATATCCCCTCTCAGGCGACGTCTTTCTAAACTAAAGAGGTTAACCTTTCTTCATAGCTGATAGCATTTACTGGCACTATAGTGTAATGTACAGTGTTGGTGTTTAAAGGGGTGCTTGTATATAATTATATTGTATATAATTAGTGTGTTTGTATACAGGGGTGTGTTTGTATATAATGTTTGATTGCAGGGGTGTGTCTGAATGTAATCACTTTTAAATGTGAATGTACATTTGTGTGATGTGTTTGTATGTATATTTTTTTGTTTGTTTGTTTGAATGCAGGGGTGTGTATGTAATATTTGTGTTAGATTGCAGGAGTGTAATTGTATGTTGTGCTGGTGTTTGACTGCTTGGATGTATGCACATAGACTACCAAATACATACTTACACAGATATTCATGCACATTAACACAACGATGCATATAAATACACCAACACATACACACAAATTCATATAGACACCGGCACATACACACATATAGATATGCACCCTGACACACACAAACATTGATACATGCCCACACCATGAACACACATAAAAACACACTGTAGCGGAGAGCTAGTATTTCATAGCCTACCTCCACTTGTAGATCCCAGTGAGGCTCAGGAACAAGTAATTATAAATCCATAAGCAAGGTATCCAGCAGGTAAAACAATGCAGCAGTATCCCAACAGCACTCCCAATAACTGGACGATACACAGTATCAGGAGCAGAACTAAAGATTTATTCAGACAGTGGCCTTATAAAGCATGCTCTCATGCAAGGGAGGGATTTACAGTCATTAGTACAGTAGCCAATCCTGTTCTGGTAACCTCCCACACATCTCCTCCCCTCAGCCTGCATCATAATCCCCTTATCCAGGACACCAATTCCCCCCCCGTTTCTGGATGTACCCCTAAACCTAGGGGTACTGCTTTAAATTATACATCCCCTGGTAGCCCTGATCTGGGTAAACAACAACATATCCAAAAATCACCCAGGTCGGACCAGGGGTTCGGGAAATTTATGGAGGGAATAAAATGACCGACCGCGCTGGAAAGAATAGCTGAATTGGGTTCCATGCCATGGGGCCCTGTGGTCGGTCCTGGAACAAGGGAGTAAATTACATGAAAGCCTCCAGTTACAGAGCTAGGGAGGGTTCGCCGGAATCCTCTTGTTCGGTTGTTTCTGTCTACCAAACGAGGAGCCGTTCGGTAGTTTGGAACCGAACGGACCGGGCTTGTGGAGGTCTCAGCGGTGTTCGCCTAGTCGAATGTCCGATTTGAGTTCCAGACACTCGACGGCAAAACTCCGCTGTTCGGGAGTTTTAAAATGGCCGCCGCCACGTGTTCGTTTCCCGAATGGCGGCCACCCCCGAGAACAAAGGACTACTGCACAGCTTGTCAATTACCCGTTCGCAACAATTTTTCACACCGGGGAGGTCTGACTGTTCGGTAGTTTCATTCCCTTATTTGTTAGAATGATTCTACCAAACATTCAGACGAATACAATACATTTATACACATAACTAGTCAATTAGACGAATGCAGTTAAAACCAATGCAATTCCCAGGACAGCTCAGTGCCATCCGCTACACACACACCCTGACACCCAGATGCACATAGACAGAAGCACACTGACATATATATATTTATATACACACAGATGCATACTCATACTCATGCATACTCATACTCACACACATACAGGTGATTTTTAAAATGGAGTGACATTTAGGTGATTAGCCCCTTCCCACATGCAGTCAAAATAAGGAAATGAAGGAATAAATATACTTATACTCCTTAATGAGTAGTTGTCACACGTTCAGAATCATATGTTGCATATGGAAAAAAGAATAAAAAAAATAGTAATAGTGCAGATCTGTATATATAATGTATAAATTGCACTTTTACATCTAGTGCTAATTAACACATATTATGTTATATACTTGATGAATTTAGTGATAGGATAAACATTTATT